GACGGCTTACAACCAAAACAAAAATACACAAAATTATACAAAAACAAAAATATTAAAACCTGGTGCATCTTGGCTTAAAAATTTTAAAATCCTACACAATAAATTAACACTTAAAATAAGTTTTAAATAAAAAGGTCTTAGCCTGGCACCGAAAAACAAATAACGATGGCGCCAGGTGGACCTCTGTGGGGAGCGCATTCCATAGGTGGGGCACCACCACAGAGAAGGCCCTCTTCCGGGTACTTACCCTCCTAATATCATTCACAGAGGGTTCCCGGAGAAGGGCATCTGTTGCTGATCTCAAGGGGCGGGAGGGCATATATGGACACAAGCATTCCTTTAGATACCCAGGGCCCAAGCCGTTGAGGGCTTTATAGGTCATAACCAACACCTTGAATTGGGCCCGGACTTCAATCGGGAGCCAGTGGAGCTGACAGAGAACTGGGGTTATATGAGAACAATGCCCAGTCCCTGTCAGCAGCCTGGCAGCTCTATTCTGCACCAATTGAAGTATCCGGACCGTCTTCAAGGGTAGCCCCACGTAGAGTGTGTTGCAGAAATCTAATCAGGAAGTTACCAAAGCATGTGTCACTGTTGCCAGGCAGTCGTTCTCCAGGAAGGGACGCAGCTGATAGATCAGCCGAAGTTGAAGGAAAGCGTTCCTCGCCACCGCCGTCACCTGGGCTTCTAAAGACAGCTCAGGGTCGAGGAGCACTACTAAGCTGCGAACCCTGTCCCTCAGAGGGAGTGCAACCCCATTTAGGACAAGGCCCAAATCCCCCATCCCGAGTCCCAAACCACCCACCAACAGGACCTCCATCTTGTCTGGACTGAGCTTCAGTTTATTGGCCCTCATCCAGCCCATTACCTCGGCCAGGCACCGGTTCAGCACAGCCACTGCCTCACCTGGATTGGTGGAAAACAAGAGGTAGAGGTATATGAGTTTCTTCAGCTGGGATCATGGAGCTTTTTAATTTTAATACTGACTCAATGACTGATCTAAAGGATATATAATACAGTTCCACTGTTGAATCTAAGCAGGCCTGACATGATAACTATATGAGAGACCACTTTGGAACTAAACAGATCAGCAAGAAGTTTAATCACTAAATTTAATAAATAGAACCAAGGGTTGAAACTAGAGAATATTAATAACTATTTTGGGTTATGTTTTCCTTGATTCATGAAGATTAAAAATGCACTAAGTCTTAAAGCCTGTACCTATTTACTCAAAGAATATACTTACTTATACTCAGTAAGACTTATGTCTGAATAAAAACACATGGTATTGCTCTGCAAAGATGCAAACCTGTACATCCTTACTAGGAAATAAGCTTCATTGAACCCATCAAGACTTACTTGTGAGTACACATATATAGGGTGGTATTGCATAACAAAGATATAAATAGGAGAGCACATGGATAATTGATATTTCAATCTGTGTATTTCCTGTGTAACAACCTCTGCCAAGTTTTGTTTAACAAACAGATGAGCTGAGTATAGAATCACTAAGAAATGGCAGTCAGTTGGGCATATGCCTTATGTTGTTTACAAAAATTAAAGTCTGAATATGGCATATAGGGGGAAGAATTCCATTGCTTAGAGTACACTGATGTTAGATAACTTCTAACTTGTAGAATTACAGCTACAAATATCCATAAGAGAATGTAGGCAGCAATCATGCAAGGCTAAGATTTGGAAAAATGATGCATCCTTGTTTCTATCCTCTTATTCATCCAAAGGGAGTAGAAAACTTATTCTTATATTTTCTCCATTATAAGGTTATAGGAAATATGCTTTCTATATAAATGACCCATAACTTTGAGAAGGGAAGAGGAAAGCATTTCTTATTCTGTCTGATATGCATGCTTATTTGAGGGAGAGAACGCTTTATAATTAAACAGTTTTAAAGAGGTCATCACAAGAAAATAATATTTCTTCTCTTGGCATTTTTAATCACTACTGAATGAATTTTTCTTTATGTGAAGTATGCATCAAGCCATATGAAATCCCATCTTGCTACAGGAAACAAGTATATCACCTGTCATTTTGTTTATACCTTTTGCTAGCTTCCTTTGGCTTTGTTATGATAGGGGGAATATTGGAAAATTACGATATCTTAAAGAATGGATCAAAGTGTGCTTTGTTTTGTGTGAAGTCCACTTTAAAGGTGACTCATTTTACCTTCTACCCTCCCAGACTGAAACAGGGTAAAGATTGTCTCCTTTTAGATGCAAGTTTAGCTGCAGGAGATCATGTAGCAGAACTCCATGCTTGTAGGGGAGAGACTATAACAATTGAACACTTGCTTTGCTTGCAGAAAGTCCAAGATTGACTACCTTGCTTCCCACCTTTGAGAGCCTAGTGTGGCTGCAAGGGAGGATCAGGGATCTGAAACGAATCACCCTTACTCAGGAGTAAGTCCTACTGAGTTGAGTAGAGCTTATTCTCAAATATGTGTACATTGGCTTTTGCGATTCATTTAAGGGTATAGACCAGTGGTGGCAAACCTATGGCACAGTGGGCATGCAGAGCACTCTTTGTTGGCATGTGAGCCAAGTCACGCCAGCATTGCCCTAGCAGCCAAGCATCGGACATCAGTGCACATAAGGGCCATGTGCATGCTTGGAAAGGAGTAGTGGTGCCAGGCAATGACGTCACAACCCGCTATTCATTCCCCGCAACTCATCTGAGCTTTCGCATGGCCGGTGTGCTGCCAAGGATATATATATATTTGCACATATCTGGCTATCAGTTGGACTGGCTATCAGTTGTTTTTTCTAAACTAAAACCACACTTTTCAGGTTTTATGGTGTTGGCAATTTGCGATAAATAAGTGGGTTTTGGGTTGCAGTTTGGGCACTTAGTCTCTAAAAGGTTCACCATCACTGGATTCGAGTTAGAAAAATGAGGTGTCCTGGCATGATTCTGGTGGTGGGAACGTGTTTAGAATGGGCAGAAATGTTGAGATTGCAGAAAAAGCTACTCAAGGAAGGCTTTTTCAAAGTCACCCTCTTTTCAATGGCACGTTAGCCCTGTATTAGGGTTAGGGGTGTGCACCAGGGTAGGGTTAGGGTTAGAAAAAGGAGATGTCCCAGCATGATTTTGATGGTTGGAATGTGTTTAGAATGGGCAGAAATGATGAGCCATGCGCATGCTTGGAAAGGAGTAGCGGTGCCAGGCAATGATGTCACGAGCTGGGACTCATTAGCCCTGACTTGCCCTAGCTTTCTCATGGCCGGTCAGTGCCCTGTCAAGGATATATATATATTTACTTGGACTGGCTGTTAGTTGTTTTTTCTAAACTAAAACCTCAGTTTTCAGGGTTTATTGCAATGTTGGCACTTTGCGATAAATACGTGGACTTTGGGTTGCAGTTTGGGCACGCAGTCTCTAAAAGGGTCACCATCACTGGTGTAGACTGTTTGCAGGCGCGCTTCCCTTTGAAAAATAACTGCCACGCTGTCTTTCACTTTCACTTTCCCTGGACCGTCCTTTGTTGGGAATGCTTCATCTCTGTTTTGCTGCATTGAGCAGGAGGCCTAAATAAGCAGGTGGCCTAACAAAGCTTCCTTCAGCTCTATGGCTCTGTGGAATTTCGAGATCCCATCATCTCCTGAAAAGTAAGTGTTATGGCTGGTTTATCTCTCATTCAGGATTCAAATGAAGAGAAATGATTCTCTTTACAGTCTCACTGTCCTACTATGTGATTTAAACAAATATTAGAGGCACCTGCTTCTGTGCCCTGAAGCATTTCCACACCATCTGTGAGTTTGAAGACATGCAGAAATAAATACAGATACGATTATCACATTCCCGGTGGACAGCAATGTCACTGGGGATTTCTTTGAAAAGAAGTGGAATTTCAAGTTCTTAATAGGGCTGAGCAAAATGGCCTTCTAAAATCCCCCACCATCAACCATTTATGGTTGGCAAAAATGATGGTGGTTTTCTCTGAGATTGAGGCAAAATCTCTGATAGTTTGCAAAAGAAAATCCAGAGAAAAATCTCTTCAGAAATTATATCGATTAAGTCATGCTGTTAGAGGAATGAGCTAAAAAGAGAGACTGAAAGAAAAAAAGGACCAGTTCCATTCCTTCAGATTAAAATTAATTGGGCTGAGTCCACAGTAGCACCAGCAGATGGTCAAAAAAGGGGGAGAGGGATACACTTTTCCAAATATCCTCTAGGGCTCTTCAACATTCTGCAAAGTTTTAGGGAGCTTTCTCCCACTGCAACTAGCATTCGTGGGAGAGGTTATAATCAGATTCACAATGGAAAAAGGATAAAACACCCTCTCTGTCAAAGGGCTTGACCCTGATCAGGCTCCCTTGCAATTTATGTGTTTTTTAAACAATGCAGTTACATGTTGAATGAAGTAATGTGTTGGGTATAATGTATAGGTGGTCTCTAGGACACTCATACCTGAAAGTAAAATTTGAGTTTAGTTGCATTTGCTTCTGGAAAAGGAGGCATTAAACTGTTCTGAAGGAACCAGAACAGTTAGTGGGTACTGGACTGAGACTCAGGAGATCTGGGCTCTGGTAGCTCTAGCTCATTTGGCCATGAAGCTTACTGGATAAAATGGAGAAGGAGGAAGACAAGTATTGTTAAGCTGCCTTGGGTTCCTTGCTTTAAATAGTCTGGGGTATAAATATCATAACTGATTATAAATAATAAATAAAAGATTACAATACTGTGCACCCCTTCTTGTGAATTAGCTTCATTAAACTTAGTGGGACCTCTGAGTATGCGTCGGATTGTGTGTAAATGTTTCAGCCCTGCTATAAATAGTAGTCCTGCAGAATGTATTGAATTGACCACTTCAGCTGATTTAACCTGATGACAATGTTGGTGCCAGATAGACCTCAGTGGGAGATTGTTCCATAATTGTGTGTGTGTGGGGGGGAACCTCTTAGAAGTCCCTCCTCCTTGCCTCTTTTTGGAATAAACTGGAATAATGCAGTTCTGGTTTGTCACCCTTTCATCCACGTTTCTAGTGCTGTTGCTGAAGCTGATGGCATTGAACCACTGATCAGTGTTCTGAGCACTAAGAGAGATGGGGCCATTGCTAGTGCTGCAACTGTTCTCACAAATCTGGCCATGCAGGAGCCGTTACGTCTTAGCATCCAGGGCCACGGTATCATGAATGCCATAGTAGAACCACTGAATTCCACCAACAGCATTGTGCAGAGCAGAGCAGCTCTTGCTGTGGCTGCATTTGGTTGTGATGCTGAGGCAAGAGCTGAGGTGAGACGCCTATTTTAACCCTTGTTATTGGGGGTGGGAAGGAAGGCTGGTATCTTTGCATTTTGTGACTTTCCTAAATAACTATGTTGCATTATGATTCTGAGTTGCTGCTCTTTGCACCACTTTCCTTTCCTTGGCCAGGAATGAAATGCATGTGAAATGCAACATACCAGTGCAGACACAGCTTTAATTATTCAAACTCAATGAAAAAAGTCAGTTTGCAACAAGCTTCCTTCCTGAATGCATGCAACGTTTCTTTTTTAGTTACGGAATTCAGGTGGTCTTGAACCTCTTGTTAAGCTCCTGCATTCGAAGAATGATGAAGTCCGAAGAAATGGCTGTTGGGCTGTTATGGTCTGCGCAAGTGATGAGCCAACAGCAGCTGAAATGACCAGGCTAGGGTGAGTGGAAGGGCTCTGAAATGAAGGGGAGCAGTGTACTCTATTAATGGCGACCCTGCTATAGCTTGTTCTTACGAATTTACGAGTGGTGCTGAAATCACTGTGGACCGCTTTTCCCCAGGATTCCAACCAGCTTTTCCCTTTTGAAGATTTCGCATTTCCCCACCTTTTTGGTTTTCCCTTTTTCTGCATCAGTGGTCAACATTTTATGACCACTAGCACATGCTCAATCCTCATTGAGCCTTTTTGGCTTCCTTGCTCTTGGATTTCTTCTCTGAAGTTGTTGATACTGCTCTGTAAACCCAGCTCACTGATAGTCTCTCATTTCTGTGTGCACACTCAGAGAAGTATGAAGAAGATTTTTTCATTTATTTAGATGCATGCAAATAGTGCTTGAGATGAATTATTATTTTACTGGTTCATTGAGAAATCAGCATTATTCTAGTCACCAAGACTTACTTACTTACTTATTTATTTAGTAAAAGCTTTTCTAACCCATCCACCATTAAGCATCTCAGGGCAGCTTACAATGAAAAAACGAATATGATAAAACAGCACAGCATCCAACAACTTAAGATAATAAAACCCCAGTTAAAATCATCTAAACATTAAAATGATGAGAAAATAAAAAGGGTTGCACCCAATGCTGAAAAGAACATAGTGTTGGCGCCAGGTGGACCTCTCTGGGAAGCGTATTCCATAGTTGGGGCACCACCACAGAGAAGGCCCTCCTCCAGGTACTCTCCCTTTTAATCTCCTTCAAGGAGGGCTACTGGACCTCCACCTCAGATATCAAGGGGTGGGAAGGCACCTATCTTTGTTCCGGTATAACTGTTACAGAGTTATATAACTGATAGGGTTATGCACTTATATGGAAAATCAGGGAAGACTGGAGGAGTACTTAGACATTACGAAGTGCACTGTAACTTTTTGTAAAAAATGCCATCATAAAAGAGGACATTTTCTAATACACTGAAACATTTTAATGAATATTTTGTTTATTTGTTTCTTGGAACAGTGCTTTAGACGTTCTTGAAGAAATTAATCTGTCCATTGGGCGCAAAAATAACTTCAGTGAAGCAGCTTTGGATAAAATACTTGATCACAACCTTCCCCAGAAATATAGTCAAATGGGGTTTTTATCGTCCGGTAACATAATTTTGGATGGGTTCTATGATTATGGACAGGTAAATTTGCTTTAAGTATATGTTTAAAATCCTTAGAGGTCTGCTGTCCTTCTTTCTCTAATAAGAAAATGGAGCCTGGAAACATTTTTTTATTAGCAGTGCCTAAAAAACTTATAGGAGGTCAAGGTTTCATATCCCTGAGCAATGCATGGTTTTTTCTTATGTCCCATTGATTCTACTGGGATGTAATGATAAACTATGATTCATCATTATGGAAATAAAAGGTAAGACTTGAGTTCATGTGCATACACATAAAATTCATTATGTGTCCTCTTTATTAATACTGCTTAGACTCATATGAAAGAAATGTTTGTTTTATAATACATCAAAATCAAAGTCATTCAAGGTATCAGTCAATTGCCTGAGTAATTTTGCTGGCTTGCCTAAGAAACTAGAGTTTGTTTTAATCCATAATTCCTGGTTTGTACTTCTCAACAAGCCAAAAATTTGGAAGACTGAAATTGAATGCTCCACTAGTTCTTTTCCAGTCATTTTGGAAAAGGGATAAGGATCATTCAGGCCTAGGGCTTCATATAGATTCCTTTCTGAGTATACGTGTAGAACAAATGTGGCATTCAAGCACTGCTAATGACAGCCTGTGAGCACCCTTGAAGTTGAAAGTAGGGATATACAGACATGGTTAAATATATCCCATCTGCCTTCACAGATTTTCAGGCATCTATTCTTCCATTGTCTGCACATTGATGGAATCAGAATTTGTGCAAATGTATTTATGAGCACTTACACAAATTTGCATTTCTGTATATGCACAAATCCTTCCTAAATTATCACACATACCCGCAGATTTGTATTTTTATGCATTAGCCTGGTGATGGTGAAATTTCTGTTGGTTTTTTATTTTTCAAGTTTTTAACTTTGGAAAAGTCAGTATGTTGCCAAATCCACAAGTCAGATTCATTTGAGTCTGTAGTGGATTTCCTTGACATCCCTATCTTGTGCTTCATTATAATTTTCCTGTAGGTAAAGCCTGGTGTAAAATTATTATCCCTAGAGGAACTCAGTGGCCAGGAGCTTAATGATCGCCGTGCTATAATCTTGATAAATGCTAAATCACCAGAACCGTAAGTTTGCAAAACATTATCTTGATATATGTATAGGATGATAATGAGGTATTAGTTTACAAACAGGATTGTCAGCAAAATATTGCAATGTGGATTTGGCTGGTTTAGGATTCAGTCCAGCCTCATGCTCTTTCAGGATATGCGATTCTGTTCACCCTCCTTTATTTTTCCATTCCCCTCACTGCCACCAAGTTGTAATCTATTCTGTGTCAACTGATTGTGCTCTGTTCTTTCTGGGATGCTCTGGAGCCCCTCCCCCACATTGTCCCTCCAAAAAAAGATTTTTTGTGCTTCTGTAAATCTTAGGCCTTTCCATTACATTACATGGTGGGCATGTCGTGAGCGGAGCTGGTGGAAGCCGAGGGTCAGACTAGATGGCCTGGGAGGCCCCTTCTGACTCACTCTGTTTCTATGTTACTCAGGCCGATAGCACTATCCCATTATGCAGGCAAGATTTGTCCTATAGTTTGGTGTGCAACAACATAGTGCCCTTTGTTGTTCCAGGGAATCCACAGCTCCTCCCATTCCAGTGGAGGAGAGGCCAACACAGGAAACTGTTCCCAGCCGAATTGGACCTTCTGCCAGTACTATCAGAAAAGCTAGTAAAGAAAGAGCCAGGTGTGTATTTAAGTTGTATAATCACAATTTTTCCTCTGGGTGCAACAGAATCTAAGCCTGAAGAAAACTATTTTAAATTCAGAGGAAATTAACATCCTTTCTTTGGAGAGAAAAACACCTGCCAGTTCAGCATTTGAAAAGAGAAAAAAGAATTAAAATCAGAAAGCTGTGATGCAGTGTTAGCACAAAACATGTCTCCCTGTTGCATTTAAAATCTTTTTGAAACAGGATGAACATGCCTGCTGGTACTTGTATAACAATCTTCTATCTAAATGTGCATGGAATTCTACCCTTGGGGTCATTGTAACATTAGCAACACTTCTGAATCCCATGGGTTTGGATTTTCTGCTTCATTTTTAAAATTGATACCAACTATTGGGGGCCCTGATCCAGATTAGGGCCGTGCTTTCACACTGAAAGTTCCTTCCATGAAACTGAAATTTATCTCCAAAGAGGATTTTTGTCAGGAATACAGGGTGTGCCAGAGAGTCTAAAAAAACAGCAACTTGGATTCCATCTCCACCCCTTACACACACAAACATATAAACAAACAGGAGTTGTGAATTTAAAAGAGGAAAGGGTGGAAAGAATTCCAATTACAAGATTCAAACCTGGGGTCATTTTACATCTGGGTTTGTATGACTGACTCTTGGGGTCTGTGTACACTGCAGGTTACTTTGCCAGTCATGTATTTCCTTTGGATTTAGTCACCCTTAATCATCTTCTCTTTTAATTGTATTGTATTGGATGAAAAGGGAACTCCATTTTTTAACAGCAGGAGCCATTCAAGAAAGAAGCCCTTGAGATTGGCTGTTATTCTCTTCCTGTACTTCATTGTGCTAATGTGTCATCTTCATAAATGTTCATTTTTTATTGATAGAAATCAAAAATAAAAATTTACATGTTAAATTCATCACTTAAAAGGTGCAGGCACCACCACCTGTTTTCTGAGCCATTTTCTGCTTATGCATTATGTGTTTCAAGCTGCTGCCCTCTCTCTGGGGCAAAATGTATTAAATGGTATATTACCTTATCAATTAAAATATTTTGCAGATAATTATTCATATGAATATCAAAATCACTTTTAAGGTTATGATTAAAAGAAAGAACACAAACTATATCCAGACCAACCCATTAGCAAGAAAAAAATAGTCCCTTGTAAATGGACTCTGAATTTTGGACTTTTGAAAGTACATTTATTGATAAAATACTCTCAGATCATTCTCAATATAGATTGTGTCAAAGCAGTGAAATAGTAAATTTCTGAAAAAGAGTATACACAGTGTGTTACAGTTTAAAAGAACACCTAAACCCTTTCATCCAAAATCTAAGCAAAGGAAGCTGTTATCAATAGTATAACAGCATAAACAAGATCTACCAACTCACATATAATGAGAGCAAACTTTATAGGACTGTCTTCTCCAACCTGGTGCCTTCCAGATATTTTGGACTACAGTTCTCATCATCTTCAGACAGTATGACTATGCAATGGGTAAGTGTAACCAAAAAGCCTAGCTGGCATAGAGGATGGCATGCCAACCCTTGAAGGTGCAAAGAGGCAATCACTTGAGCCTAATAGTTCAGTTAAGGAAGTTTATTAAAGTAAAGATGAAAACAGCATAGGGGAAAGGAAGTAGCACATACAAACAATAGAACAAGAATGCAAATCCAGAACCAGAAATCTTGATCTGCCTAAAATCTACACTGAATAAGACAGAATTGCAGCCACAGTTGCACCCAGATTCCTTGTCAGCAGTTGTTGGAGCGTCTTTTGTTCACCAAGATGGATGGAGAGGACAAGGAAACTAGTGTGGATGATGAGAGTTGTAGTCTAAAACGTATGGAAGGTACTAAATTGATGAATGTTGGCTCAGGACATCAAATTCTCCAGTGAATGCCTAACAATACCTGTGGCTTCTCCATACCCACTGTGATTTCCTGCTATTGCAGACAGCACTCCTGTCTTTCCCCACTCTAATGTAATCACTTTAGACATCTCCAAAACACGATTTTTATACAGAGATGTTCAATATAATAAAAGAACAGTGAAAAATAATGCCACCAATAGTTGTGTATATTTACCCCAATGCAAAGCTGCATTCAGGCATGAAATGTTTTTATTTCTGCATTTTATTACCAGTCACATCTGGTTTTGCTCTCTGCTGGCAGAGCTCTTCTCTCCTCTTGTACAAAGTCATTGCACATGTGTGTCTTTAATGTCCAGTAAATTAATAGGGTTGGATTCAGATTAAGTTACCCTAAGGTAAAGGTAAAGGTTTCCCCTTGACATTACGTCCAGTCATGCCTGACTCTAGGGGCGGTGCTCATCTCCGTTTCCTAGCCGAGGGAGCCAGCGTTTGTCCACAGACAGTCTCCGTGGTCATGTGGCAGGCCTGACTAAACACCGAGGTGCACGGAACGGTTACCTGCCCACCGAAGTGGTACCTTTTTATCTACTTGCATTTGCATGCTTTTGAACTGCAAGGTTGGCAGGAGCTGGGACGGAGCAACAGGAACTCACCCTGTTGTACAGATTTTATTTTATTTATTTATTAAAATATTTCTATACCGCCCCTTGCCGAAGCCTCGGGGCGGCTCACAACATAAAATACAATACAATAAAATACAAAAATAACAATATAAAATAAATAACAATATAAAAGATTTGAACCGGTGACCTTTCGATCTACCAGCCCAGCAGCACAGCAGTTTAAACCACCGCACCACCTGCAGTCCCAAGTTACCCTAGTTTCCATTTAAATCAGCAGAACTTGCTAGTGATGACCAAGGGTGCAACTCTGTATGCATTTACCTGCAAGTAAGTTCAACTGAACTCAGTGGAACTTATTTCTTAGTAAGTATGTATAGGATTTCATTTTTCACATTGATTTCAATGGGACACATGTTCAACTAACTTACTGTAGATTCATTCTAGATAAGGGCTGCTGCTGCTGCTGTTGCTCCTGCTGCTACTACTAATATTACTACTATTCAGTTACTGCTTTGTTCTCTTTCTTTTTAGTTAGCTTGTTTTTAAGAATAGGGAGAATGAGATTAGGTGTACAGAGGATATGTTTATTATCAAAGATTTTTTGGCCAACATGATAATTTATTAGTGGTTAGCCACTTTGAGTTCATGTCTTATCGTTTAAAGCAGCTGCCCCCAGAGTGGCACCCTCAGGTAATCTAGACTGCTTTCCCATCATCCCTACCCATTGGCTATGCTATTTGGAGCTGATGGGAGATGTGGCACCATCTGGATATTTTGTAGTACATTGGGCAAAGTTGATCTAAAGCAAGGTACCTTTCATTTTGACCCTCCTCTGCTTTCTTATTGAGGTGATGGCAGTGATGGTTGTTATTACTGCTGTTCTTTCCTCTGTGGAGCCCAAAGTAGCATAGAGATTCCCAAGGCCAATTCTGCATATCTTCAATAAGGTCACTGGATCATTTACATGGGTAGTGTTTATTATAATCAAGATACTGCTTCTGGCTCCTCTTCAAAATAGCAAGATAAGAATCCCAGGGCAACAGTGTTTGCAGAGAGATGGCTCTTGCTTTTCCATTGTAAGCTACAAGCATAATTGCAGTTTGCCTTTGTGCACATCCTTCAGCATGGAAACTAATGAGCATGGCATAGTGATGTGGCGTGGAAGAGTCACCAGAGCAGCTATTTTTAAAATACTGTTTTCTTTTCAGTTTCTGTTAGGTAGCAAGGGTAAAAGGAAGGTTGCATCTGTACTGGTAAGAGGCAAATGTCCATCCCCTATCAAGGACCTTGTTGCACTGAGACCTCTTTGATGGCTTTCTTATGCCCCTTACACAAAGCGATAGAACCATCACTGTCTCTGTTAGTTTACATAATGATGACAGTACTTGATAAAAATCAGATAAGTATGTGGGAGTGAATTGATTAAGAATGATGTACTTGATTATAAGATACTGCAGAAGTTAAGGGAATAAGACTGCACAAAAGTTACAAACAGTTCTTTGATTTGAAGCGCATGGAGAGGGGGTGTTTCACAACAAAGTAGTTACTTTGCCTTTGCTTGGGAGGAACTTGAGAGCATCACTCCCATTGCCCTCTATGTGATATGTGCACAGTCCCTGAAGAATTCCTATGCCTTACAGACTTCAGAGAAAAATGGAAATTACTTTGTAATTTTGATAGCTCTTTGGAAGAAAAGCCAGACTCTCCAGGACGGTCTTCTTCAATCAGTAAAGGAGGAAATAGAGAGAAAGGATCAAGGTATTCATATTCTTATTTAATACTAAAGTGCGAACATAAAATAGCAGATTATTATTTTATTACTTTTATTGCACCATTGAAGTACTGGTGCTTTACAAAGAATATATGTGACAGTTCTTAAGAGGATTACAATCTAAAAACAGACACAGAAAAACAAGGGAAGGGGAAAGAAAATGGAGACGGGTACACAGGGAAAGATGGTGTCATTATTTCAATTACACATAATAAATTTCTACATCAAACATGTGTCTGGATAAGCCTTCTGGAGGTCACTTTCTACTAATTCTAGCTACTTTATCTTGCTAGAATTATAATGCCAAGCAGTGACCTCCCTGGCCCACTCCAAACATGAGAAATGTCTTACTCAGAAGTGACATTTCCTTATGGGGAAAAATGCAAACACATGCACACAGATACGTTCATGTTATGCTGTGAGTATGCATGTTGGGAAGCCATATTTGGCTGTGACTTTTCAGCATGCATATATATATGCGCCCCTACTGGAGTACGACTGCCTGGCGATGGTGACACACACGCTGGTGACTTCCCGCCTAGACTTCTGTAACGCGTTTTACGTGGGGCTTCCCCTGAAGACGGTCCGAACACTTCAATTGGTGCAAAATAGAGCTGCCAGGTTGCTGACGGGGACGGGGCGTTATGCTCACATGACTCCAGTCCTCCATCAGCTTCACTGGCTTCCCATTGAAGCCCGGGCCCAATTCAAGGTGTTGGTTATGACCTATAAAGCCCTAAACGGCTTGGGTCCTGGCTACCTGAACAAGCACTTACGTCCGTATATGCCCGACCGCCCCTTGAGATCTGTGGGAGAGTCCCTTCTCCGGGAACCCTCCATGAAAGAAATTAGGAGAGTAAGTACTCGGAGGAGGGCTTTCTCTGCGGTGGCACCCAACCTATGGAATTCACTCCCCAAAGAGGTCCGCCTGGCACTGTCGTTACTGGTTTTTCAGCGCCAGGTAAAGACCTTTTTATTTAAACATCATTTTAATTGTTAAAATATATGATCTGGCCAGGGCAACTTCCTCTTCCTTCTCTTTCCTCCTCCTATATTCTTTATTTACTTATTTTATACTGTTAATTTTAATTTTATATTATTGTATCTCAGTGTATTTTTTGTATTTTTGTATTTATTGGTAATTTATTACGTTCTGTTGTATTTCAATGTATCTTATTGTGTTGTAAGCCGCCCCGAGGCTTCGGCAAGGGGCGGCATAGAAATGTTATAATAATGATGATGATGATGATGATGATGATGATAATATCTCAGGTATCTTCATGTGCAAAATAACTCATGATACTCACTATGCAAGCTTTCTCTGAGGTGTAGGATTTCCACCATGTTTAAAGCATCCCTAATAGTATAACAGACTGATTTTTCACAGATGCATGGAGTGCTGAGGCTTTAATAAAATACCTGTGAAGTTTCTCTTTTCAAAGTCCCCTACCAAGTTAGGAAAGGGTAGCTAATTGTCTTGATTTTATCAAGGCTGTCTAGAAAATTGCCATCAAATATTGAAAATACTATCCTATTTACCTTAAGGACATGTCCTGAATATTTAAAATGTGTGTACAGAAAATGAATAACAGACCTATCTTTTATGTAAAGATTGTATACTGATTGTTGTTCGTGACCATCAGTATCTCATTCTGGCATATCCCAAGTATATTTTTGAGGCAGTTGCTATATATTTTGCTTAAAAGTCATGAGATATCTTGGTGGAGACAGCTGTCATTTTGGAAATGTACAGCACAGGTGAACTGTGATTGAGGCATTGTATCCTTGCCTCTCTATAGTTCGGCAATGGTGGCATGGAGAGAGTAGGTGGACTTACTTTCTTGGATAGGCTTCACAGCACAATATCTGGACAAGATGGTGGCAACCATCAGTTCCTCAAACACCTAAGACACTGGTCCTTCTCCTTCTGTGCCTCATGCCACAAGTGGAGAGCAGAAATTATTTGCAGATGATTTGCCAAAGATACTGAGAGCTTTCCAAGCTGTACCATACTTCTCCATGGTTCTCAAGTCCAGTGTGTCATGTCTTTGGTATGTTGGAGAATGGGAACCATAAAGTTCATCATGGTAACAACATCTGTTGAATGTTCAAGAAGTTATACAGAAATATACATCAGATTAGTATTACAGATATGGGAAAGGTTATATTTGAAAATCAAATCTCTTTTGATTTGCAGTTACAAGCTGGTACCTCTTGCTCATCACCTGTCCATTTGTTCATATCTCCTTTACTTTGATGAGTGCCATGCTTCCAGCTGAGGAGGCCTCATCTGAGGAAGAATAGGACCCACCTAGCTGTAGGGATGTCCTTGCTCTTGAGGATAAGGCAAAAACAGAAAATCCCAGGAGGGAGATACACTGGCAGTGGTTGAAGGGGATAAAGAGACAGAGTCCTTGAGAGTGAATGCAGAATCTGCACCAGAGATGGGAAGATACCTGAGAAAGCAGTTGCTTGGAACGAAGAATGCAGGTCTTCTCTCTCAGACTGGGTGCCAGATTGCATGCCACGCCCATGTCATCAGGTGCAGCTAGGAGCATGGGTTATCCAGTCAGCTCCTCAATAAAAGGTTTAGCAGCATGCCAACAAGGTGCTGGGAACAACATCCGAACTGGTCTTTACAACTCCAGCCTTGCTCCAACCTTTGCCTTCTTTGCTTCGACTGAACTCTGCATGACTCTGGACTGAACCCCAGTGCTGAACCTCTTGCTGATGAATGGACTGACTTACTAGTTTAGCTCAAACATCAGAGAGGACTTCCAACTTTTTTGCCTGCCAAAAATTACTTGGGTGGCATTTTTGAAAATGCCACCCTGGTAATTGCATCCAGTCTCCATTGATCGTTTTATTTCATAACTTATATATGTTGTGAACCAGTTAGCTGAGTTCCCAACTTTATTGCTGGTAGGTGCTCTGAAGTCAGCCTTAATGGGGCAATGGCTGGGTTCAGTATCTTCATGCATATTATCTTCCCTGCCCCCAATCCTGCTGCCTTCCTTGCAAAATAACATGCATTTCACTATGCATTTCCAATTCAATTCAAAGAATATATTGACAGAAGGAATATTATACCAAGTGATTAATATCTTAGTTTTCTCAGGTAACAGTTCCAGGGATAAAGGAAAGTTCATCAGGTGTCGTTGGCTACAAGCTTTAGTTGTGTTTGCTATAGAACAGGAAGAAACAGATACAAAGCAAATTTCTAAATATCTCATTAAGCATTTTACTGTTTTACTACTTAGCTATGCAGGTGCAGTACAAGTAACATAAGGAACAACATACAAAGAATAATTGTAATGTTATACAATTTGATAAACATTTAGAAAAACACTTTGATCTGTGACACACTGACCCTGACACCATTGCAACAACCAACCCTCACACAGTGCAACAAATGGGCGGATCCTCTTGAATGGTATGGAGGGATGCGATTGTGCCCCTCCCCTTGGTTCCCACCTCACCTGAGAACTATCTGAATATTAACCCAGAGATCTTTGTCAGGGCACATATGCTATTTTGGAAACCCTCAGAGTGGGAAGAGTCTGTGCTTTGCGTATGTGTTTCCTGCCAAAAAACACTTCTCGGTGTTTTCTCAGACCTGTAGCACTTGTAGTCTCAAGCATATGCAGCCGTCTCTAGGGAAGGAAAAGGGATACAGCAAACGCCTTTGGATATCCAGTCAGCCTCCATCCTGTCACAAGAGTATTATTCTTTACCACAGAAAGTTATGGAAGAACTTAAAGAGCCCTTTGCTGATGTACCTGATGCAACCTTACTCTCGGGAGCCATGAATTCTAATTATGCCCTCTTAAAGAATCTAATGGAAAACTCATTTGCATGCACTGAAGCAGCCTTAAGGCACATGAGGCCACTGCCTTGGTGTTTAGAGCTTCCTCCACAGCATCCTTTTTTCTCTATGGCCCTTTCTGGGGTAGATGATATTATCAATAATAAAAACTATGTAAGACTTTATATGCCACACAGGATTCTGTGATTTATGTGGCACATTCCACTCTTTCAACTGTGATGGCAAAACATTAACCATAGTTAATACACTACGAAATGGGTATGTATTCACTTTGCACAGCACATTTAGGGGTCCTGCAATATAGAAGCTAATCTAAGCAGGCAATGCCTTGATATTGAGGCCTGAATCTGGAGACAACAGTCCTTCGGTAGCCTTACCATCATGTTGGCTTCACCCAACTAGATGTCCTCTCCCAACCACCAGCTTTCGGACTTCTTCAGACACCTGGCTCCATCAGTGGAGGCCACAGATACTCTGCACCGGCCAAGTAACTCTTGCATTTTGGGCTAAGATTCTTAGAAAAATCATGGAAGAATGGGCAGTGCTGCTTAGAGCTCCATTCTGGTGAGGGAGTTCATTGTTTTCACAAATCTCTACTGGTGCAAACAGACCCATAGTTCTTTCCCTTGAGGACAGACCTCATACAAAGATGGGCACTTGGACTCAGACTGGCTACATCTAGTCACCTGGCTTTTGTCTACTCCACAAAGGCAACACTGCTGTCCTCCATCAGCTAACTGAATACATTAAATAACTGGGAAGGTTTTTCTGCATTGGTGTAGAAGGAAGTGTCTGGATTGTGAAACAAGAATCGAGGAATTCTTTAATTCCTGAAAACACATTTAACTAGTGGGACTTTCAGGGAACACAATTTGCAGACAGGGTACAACTTACAGCTTTCTTCTATTCACTCTAGAACTTACATCAAGCCACTTGGTTCTCTACTGAACTGTCAGAGATTCTTTAAAAGGGCATATCTGCTATGTTCTTCAGGTGCATACTGCTTCCCAAGTATATTGTTGGAGTGTGTATATGATACTATCAACTCTTAAAAACCCAGGTGTTGACCTAGAGAGGCTTCAAATAGTTGTCAAAAGGTGAACTGGTAAGGCAGACCAATGGTGCAAGAGATCTGCTCTCACAGAAACTGGGTAATAAGATTCATAGCTCCTTTGTGGCAAGATCCTCATCCTTTGTGTGTGTGTTTGGGTGAGTGGGGGACTCAATTGTTCTGAGTGTTCTATCAGTTTTTCATTTCTTTCTAAGTGCTCAAGAACATGGAAAGTATGAGCATGGAAGATTGATAGATGGCTCTCAAAATGCTGGTTCTGTTTAAAGGATTTTTTCTTCTTCTACAAGAGTGGTTATTGTCACAAATGAGGAGAAGGGGAAACAAGTTAGTCCTGCCAGTGTTCCTTGGGATACAGCTTACAGAGGGCTTGATTGTTTGTTGGGCACACCAGAGATTGTTTGTACCACAATCAACCTCCTGTGGCTTATTGCCAGGGTGGATTGTTCAGTATGGCATACCTGCCCATAGAGTACTACAACAGCTTTTTCCTCAAACTTTGTTCAACTTGCTCTGGAACCCACGCTATTGTAATAGTAGCTTTTGTACATCTCATGATGGATATCTCCTTGCATGAAATGGGAAAAGTTTGGTACTTGGTTGTTGTAAACCACCCGGAAAGCTTCACTCGTATAGAAATGAAATAAATAGTGTGAAGTTGCACTCCAATGCAGTGTATTGCATCCTTACCTCACACTGTGACAAGTTGGACACTCTTGTTAAGTCTGTCCCCCTCCCTTGAAGGTCACTAAAAGATGACTTTTTTGTGCAGTCATTTCAACAGTCTCTCCATTTTCTTACTTTTTTCTGGATTCTCAATCACTGCTCAGTCCAAAAGCTTGGCTAGAGAAGAACTGGCTGAAAGTTGCCAGAGAAGCCAGGGCCAAAGCAAAAAACTGGTCACATGTTCCTTGCCTATACTGCATAATGGATAATCAACTCATTGTGGATGCCTTTTGTGCATCCATACAAATCCATAAAAATTTTAATGGGACTTCATAGTAAGTGCTCACCTTTCCGGTATGGGGAACAATCCTTCCATGGTACACAGAACTGAACTGCGCACACAGCTCTTCATTAGTGGATGTTTCTGCATCTTCATCATATATAACTGAAAAAAAAAATCTGAAAAACAGTCAGAACAATGTTTCTGCAACTGTCAACTGCTGAACCATTTAGGGCTTTCAGCTATATCAAGGTTTTTTTTCATTTATAGTATCTTAGTATTTAATTAACGCAGGAAATCAAAATCCATCCTGGTCCATGCTCCACAGTGTTTGCTTTATGTCAGATGTTGTATCATTACATAGCTACACTGTTGTGAAGAAACATTTTGAATGGATTCAGATCACCTGGTAATGTTTTTAAAAAATAGTACCATGCAGCTGGATTACATGTAGACTCAGTCAACTATACAGTCTGACCTTGACTGAGTTAAACCCAGAATACAACCCTGTTCTTGTCTTACAACCCATCAGCCAGATAACAGCTGTTTAACATCCAAGTAGTGGTGTCCATTAATGCATAGTTATTTTTTCGTTTGTTTTAAAGTAACAGTCTGTTCAAATTAGTATGTAATAGAGTAGCAGCATGGACTAACAAGATTGACACTGTAAATAAAGGATGTAGATGTATTAAGTTGTATAAATGAACTGTGCCTCCATCTACACACATAAGAGCTACATAGAAAGTGTGGCATCCACAAATATATGTAGGACTAACTTTTCATTAGGCTACCTGCAGGTGATCCGCTCCAAGTTCACTAGCGCAGTTGGCTCCCTCGATACAGCAGAAGAGGGAGTGCAGCCTGTCCAGTGAAACAGATCTTGTCATGCATTATGATGGTGGTGGCTTTGGAGCAGCTTACCTTGCCTTAGCCCAGCTTAACAGCTGTACTGATTCCTTTGTTCCTTTGTCGTTGGGTTTATGAAGTTGTTGTTGTTTTCTTTTTGACTCGGAGTTTTTTGTTCTGAAGCTTCCAGAATTTTTAAAGGAAAAATTTTATATTCATGTGAATTCAGGGTCCCGTTCAGTTTCTTTATATCCACACTTATGCAACTTGTTCCACAATAAAAACCTGCTAGGGTTTCCAGGGTGCTAAAATTTCTCAAGAGATAAGATACCACAGAAGAACTGCATGTGGGAAAATTTTGGGTATGGTTCTAAATAAATCACAATTTTAGACCCCTATTATGATCTTTCTTAAATTTCTAAAAGTATTACTACCAGCCATATTGAATGACAGTACCTATAATAATAATAATATATAATAATTGGAGAGCCAGTGAGGTGAAGTGGTTGAGAGCATGGGACTGGGACTCAGAACATCTGGGTTCTAGTCTCTGCTTAGCTATGGAGCCTACTGTCCAACTTTGGGGATAAGATTGGGAAGAAGAGAATTATTTAAGCCACCTTGAGTTCCTTGGAAGGAAAAAGGGCAGAATATAAATCTAATAATATGGCCATCATAGGTCTGTTTCACACAATATTTTCTGCATTATTTAGGTCCCACATCCTTTATTTACCTTTCAGCACTTGATGGCAACAGATTCTAAACTTCTGTGGCTTTCCATGTGCTCATGATCACACAGAAAAACAAACATGTGACTGATATGGTAGATCAAAATAGCTGCCTCGTATCCATGTTTGTGAAACTGGATGACTTTTTTCAGCTGCTTACAAATATGGGAACTAATTCTGGCTCCATCCATTAGATCACTCAGATGACAATGAGATCTTGCTACATGAGGTGTGTTCCAGAACTATTGAACTATTTGCTTATATACTGGATTTGTGTTTGCTGGGTTTTGTAAACTCAATTTTATGTTGATACTTATAGATCACTTTTCTTCAAAGCAACTAACAGATTAAAAAAACAAATAACAAATCAAGTAAAATAAACATAGTACACCAGTCAAGACTATCAAATATAAAAATGCCATATAAAGAACAATTTAGTCAAGACAAAGGAGTAACTCTTGTCGTAACTGCGTACTGGAAGGTTGGGTGGTCACTTGTGCACCACCAAGTAGGAGGAAATGCATCACCAAAAATGATTGATTTGTATGACATTTAAATATGCTACTTTACAAATTTAGAAATTATTATTATTTGAATTTTAATGGAAATAAAATATTTTACCAGTGGGAAAGACTGACTAGATGAACTGTCTGTCTAGTCACTCTACTATCCAGATGTTGTTGATGGGCAGGTTCAGTGCCCTGCTTACCCTCCTTATGGGTCTTTATTTCTAAACCAGACTTGGAGTGGACAGTGAAGATGTAGTATCATTACAAAGAGATGAGAAATTCTGAAGTGACTGAACCATTTCTTGTCAAAGTGCTTTGGGAAGAGGACATCTCTTTTGTCTTCTGAAGCAGGGCAGGCTCTGTCTATCTTAAGTGGTGTCAAGGATTTTAAAAAGGTTAGGGAATCAAGATTTATGTGGCCCTTTCCAACTCTATTATTTTATGATTTTATGTGTGTTCTAACAAACCTGTGCTGTCTGTTTACAAAAGAAAAGGGAAAGGGAAAAAAGAAGAAGAAAAACCAAAGGAGGAAGAAGTGGAGCCAGCTATGCCTAAAATACTTGAAGAGACTTGTGCAAAGGCTTTATGGCTCCCCCCATTCGACCCCATCTTGCTGGATTATATTACCGAGTCTTCCAAAACAGTTCTCCCACTTGGAACCACCAAAGAACAGGTTGTCGTGCTTTCACAGTGAGTACCAGGATTTTTTGCTGAGTATTTAAAGACTTTCTATAGAAATCTATCAACCTAGCTTCCCATTACTATGACCCCATTTGCTATCAATATTTATTGTGTGGTCACAAGCCCATAAAAACAGTACAAACTGGCCAATAAACACACAATCATTAAAACATATGTGTGATTAAAACAGTCTTTAAAAAGTAAGTAATTACAAGGGAAGTGAAATAATCTCATGAGGCCTCATTACAAAAAGAAAAAAAGGAACTTGTGGCCTTTGTCTTGCTGGCTCTCTAGAGAGTTAGGATAGCCAATTATATGCCTCAGTAAACAACTATTACCGATTTGCATATGGTGATTTTTATTTGTAATTGGAAATCATTTCCCTCGTAGAAATAAAATCTCACTATAGCAAGAAAAGTTGTGACCAGGTGACCTTTTCGCTTTCCTGTTTATCCTGCTAAGAGTTTACAGCTAATAGACAACTTCAAGATCTTTACTCTCCCTTCTTGGGGTTATCTTTAGGCTGGATAGCCCTTCCAACAGAGACCAGTCTTCTGGCAGCCCTTTAAATAGAAAACTATTCTTGTTAAAGGAGAATACATTCTACCTTCCTTGTTCGTTTTTGTTTGCCCTAGTCCTAATCCTTTCTCTGCAGAACAGGCACAAAACAAATTTTAATTTCACATAAAAAATCAAAGACAAAATAAAACAACGAACAAGTAAAATTGATAATCTTTAAATACATGAGCAGCACCAAGTTAATATGGTTTTAATAATTCATTTTAATTATAAATTAATTAAATTTCAAAGTTGGGAGGTGTTTGGGTTAGGGCTGGAAAAAAATTAAAGGTTTTGGCAGCCATCCTAAAGAACTGAAGACGGAGACAGACTTTCCAGTGAAGGGAGTTCCACTAATAAGTTACCCTTACAAGAAAGGAGGAAGGGAAGGGAGGGGGAGGGAAGGAAGGTTGTTGTGCCGGCTTGACACTAGTGAAAATGGCATGTGAAGAAAATTCGATGTGACAAAGTAGTTTATTTGGGAGCAGACATTCCCTCTTGACATCCTTAGATGCCTTTGAGTTCCCCAGATTCAGGTAGATGGTATTACCATAATGTAGGTGACCAAAATGAAGTTGGAATGTCACTTTTAAATTCCACCGCATCTTGTTCTCTCACGCTCCTCTATTCATTTTTATGATAGGCTGCCATGTCACATCTGGTCAGGATAACTGTTGAATTCTTGGCCAACCTATATCCTAAAATGAATGGGATATCTTCAGTGAGTTTATTAAGGCTGCCAAAGGTTTTGCATGCTGTTACATCCTATCCTAAACATTTACTGAAGCAGAACTGCTCATAAGTTCAATCTGTTGGGCTTTTCCAAAATATAAACCAAAGTCAATGAATAGCTTTTTACTTCTCACAGTAGCTGGTTCTCAGTAAGGGATATTTGTACACAGCAGGCTGCTTGTCAGCCAACATAATAAACTAGCATTTGATATGTCCTTAAAGGATATTATACATTGGAATTATTTCCAGAAACAAGCAGCATTGCTTCATGCAACAACATAACTGCCTATAGCATTAGCATTTTAATCTAACAAAATTCAATATATTCCTAGAACAAGAAAAATGAAAGTAAAAGCATTTATGACAAAAGTAATAAGTTATTATTTGCCTTTCAGAATGTTGGGTCCTAATGTATTTAGAATGTAAGGACAGTTTCATACTCTGCTGGTGCAGAAGCTGCTTCTCGCATGGCTACATCATTAGTGCTGATGTGCAAACTTTCCACATTAGAATTGTCCAATCCTTGTGATCACTTCAGGTTTCAGTAAGACCTGAAGTCTGCAGCTGCAAGCACATAGACATAGGAAAGGTGATTCTGCTGGTTTCCTGCCTATCCCACAACCCATCTGTCTCCCTACCTGAGCTAACAGAAGAAGTCTTGGACATGATGCTGAAGTACACCTTGTCAGGGTTGGCTCAGGATTTCATGGCCTCCATCGCATCCTTGGGACTTTTCCAATATGTATTTGGTCCAGTGCTTGGAACAGGGCAAATTCTAGATTATTTTGTCTGCCAGGCATGAAGATGGTATTCTGAAGATCAGGAGTTGGTCTCTGCGGGGAGGGGGCTCGTCTGTAGCACACTGCAGTCTGCTCAGTTACATTCATTTGAGGAAGAGATGGAGGAGCAGGAGAAGCTGGACAGAGGGCTTGGCAGTTTCAAGGTTACGTAGTGAAGTTTCTTAGGCAGAGCAGAGTGTGGGAACCAGCCTGCCTTTCAGGGCTGGGGGTGCGGTGCAGGGAGAGTTTTTTGATCTAGTCAGGAGAGAATGGGTGAAGAGAGCAGATTAATTACAAGCAGGAGCCACCCTGAGGCTGGAAGTTTTCTGAAAGGGAGAGAAAGAGGGGGAATTTCAGTTTGGATTCAGCCTTTCACATGGGCAGATGCTTCTCCCATATCTCAAGGAGAACATTCTAATTTATGCTGTTCTTTGTCCAGTTAAGCTATAATAAAAGGACTGTGCTTCTACATTTTTGTTTGACTCTACTGGAGAGGGAAGGAGGGAGGGAAGGGCCCTATTCATGGCAGTTAGTTTGTCATGGGTTTTAGATGGATCATCGCTTTCCATCTCTGCAGGGAATCTGCTAATACAGCCTGTCTTTAGAGTCTAATGGCTCTGGATGGTTTTCTAGGCAGCTCTTGGGGTTTTCTGGCTAATATGGCTGGTGCTCCTGTCAAAGCCCTGGTCAGTCTGAGAAACATAGAGGTGATGACTCGGGTGGTTGACATGATCATGCCTGAGCTTCCTTTCTGTGGCAGAGTTCATATAGCTCTATGATGTCCCCCTGGAGATGAGAGTGATGAAACAAAACAGGAACTGGCTTGAGTCCGGAGAAAAATTCCTAGTGGATGCAATGAAACTGTGGTATGTGCCTATAAACAGGCATACTTACTGGCACTGACGGTGGCAAAGAAACTTCTCACTGCCTCAGTTCAGTCTTCTATTGACTGCCTAGCAGAGCTTTTTACACTCATCTGGAGCCTTACATGCTGTCCCAAAGGGCATGCAAGACCTGTCTGAAGACCTGCTGTAGTATATTTGCTGTGCATATCCAGGACAAAATCTTCTGCATCTGTCAGGACTTAGACTTCAGCAGTGAAGTCACACTAGGTAACCAAAGCACAGCCTGGTCTGATTTTCTTGAATGAGTTTTTGTTGGTACAGCTTGAGAACCTCGACAAGGTCCTTGGACAGGTGTGTGCAACCATATTGTATCCTTGCCCCTCCTAGTTTATAAAAGCCAGCAGGGAGAGAACAACCAGCTGAACCAGGAAGGTGGTTAATGCCTCCTTGTCAGAGGGAGCGGTCCCTGGCCATATGAAAGACACAACAATGAGAACACACCTGAAGGAATTGTCTCTGGCCTGGAAGATCACAACTTTAGACCAGTGGCAAATATTTCTTTTTTGACAAAGTCATTGAGCAGGAAGTGGTCTATCAGATCAGGCATTCTTGGATGACACCAGTTACCTGAATCTATTTCAGTCAGGGTTTGGGCATGGAAACAGCTTTGATTCTCCAGCACAGGGTTTCTTGAGGGTTGGTTTGTTCCCCATGCTATTCAAGATCCATATGAAGCTGCTAGTAGGGTCATCCAAAATTGTGGAGTGGTATGCCCTTACATAAACAGGAGTGGCACAGTTTCAGTAATCTGCCCACTGGTAATCTCTAAATTGAATTGTTTCAATGGGGCTGCCCTTGAAGACTGTTTCAGTACTGCAGAATGTGCAAAATAAGACAGCTGGACTAGTAACCAGGACCAGTAGGCCTGAACATATAAGACCAATTGTTGCAGTGTTACTATTAAGTGAAGCAGTGTTAGTAATAAGCCAGATAAAGATTATGAAAATGATTGGTTTAATTCATCTTGTTGGATTTTAACACAGGTTTGTCGCAGACAAGATGGGTGGTCCAATTGAAAGAGACAGGTTACATGAATTCAGCTGGGAACTACATATAAGTGAAATTGAATTTGAACTTAAATGCAATGTGGTGCCTATTGGGAAGATCAGTAAAGGGACCTTCTACCACAGGGCTTTGCTTTTCAAGGTAAATCAAATTACTCAGCCACGTATCTGATTTAAAAATTAAAATTATAATTGTACAGGTTTAATTTTAAGGAACAGATAACATGTGCCAGCATATATCAGCTTGAATATAAACCTGTTGCAGTGGTGTTCAGACCTTCCTTGCTTGTATACTCAAGCTTGTATATTTTGAGTTTAATCAGTATTGGTTTCCCATCAAAAAAAAGTCACACATTCCTGTCCTGTTAGTATTCTAGTTAAAAGCATTATTTAAAATAACTCACAGAACTGGCCACCTCTTGGATGCACACCCTGACATGGTGAGTTGGTTTAAGAGTGTTTGAGAATCCAAGAGCAATGCCACTGGGAGGCCAGACTCTAGCAGGGTCTCCCAAGGCAGAATGGTCAGATTGAAACACCAGACTAAGGTTCATCTACACTCTTCAGAAATAACAGTTACATCCTCAGAAGATAATGGTTCTCTCTAATGATGATGGGGGCAGAAAAAAGCAGGAGAACATCTCATAGAATTGCTTGCCAAACCAAGATCAGGAGCAGATTGTGGTAGTGGCCATTAACTATTAATATCAAAAATGTTTTTAAAAATAAAAACTACATTTATTTCAGAAATAAAACTAAACCTAAAAAAGAACACTAGCAGAAGCATAGTCCTGAAATACAGCTTAAACAAATTCCTAAGGAATTTAAAGTCTACAGACTTTGCATTACTGAAGTCAGTTGACTGAGAACCGGAGACATCATTAGCATGCAATGCAAAAAGACAATTCCTGTAGCCCCCCCCCAAAAAAAAAAGTGAGATGGATGATGGAAGAAACATTCACAATTGCTAAGGACAGGTGAGAAGCAAACATAAAAGGGACAGAGATAGTGAGAGAATAGAGATAAATAGCACTATTAGAATGACCAGTGCAAAGACATAGAAGAGAGGCAAATAGAAATAGAGAAGAAGCAAAACAAGTGACCTGTTCCAGAATATCAAAGAAATCAAAGTGCAGTTCAGACCTACATTCAGCTTGGTTTAACTACTGAAGTGGTGAAAGACTTCCAAAGATGAGATAGGAATTTTTGCATACTCAAGGGAGCTCCCCCAACATGCAGAAAAAAAGCCCAAAAAGTCTTTCTGATGTGCAAAGCCCTCCCTTACTAACAGTGAGAAAAAGTAGGGAGGGGAAGAAGGAGTTGTTTTAGGCTGCATCAGAAGTAGAGGTGAGGTACACACACCCTTTCTATTGGCCTGACTGAGTTCAACTACCATTTGGCTCCCTTCTCCTCCAAGAACCTTCTTATGCAGCAAGCCCTTGCTTTTGGGGAGGGGGTGTTATCATGGTCTATTCAATTGTAAGGTGCTGTTTTAAAGTGTGAACAGCCTTGGGTATATTGGCAGTAAGGCAGTCTATTCATGCAATAAAAATGAAGTAACCAATGGTGTTATTTTTATTATTGCTTTCCATAGGTTCTTGCAGACAGAATTGGCATTGGTTGCAGCTTAGTCCGTGGCGAGTACAACAGAGCATGGAATAAAGTGAAATTAGTTGATGATTCTCCCTTAGGAATACGTGGACTTCTGCTTCCTCCTCAAATATTTATTGTAGATCTCATGTACCAGCCAGGCTACCTAATGAAAGAAGGAAGTCCAGAGGCAGAGTACTATCAACGTATTTAGTTATTATTCAGTAACTCCTTGATACCAAATCAGTTTGTTAATTAGTTTTATTAAGCTTATCCTGACAGGTTTGTAAGGCTTATTTTCAAAGCTGGTCTGGGTACCTTCATATGCACTGACCAATTTAGACAGGGCTTTAGAAATTGTATTTGACTCTTGGAGGTTCTGAAAACCTAAGAAACCTTTGTGATTTCTGAGACATCCTTCTGAGTCTTTAAGCATCCTTCTGAGTTCTAGGACAAGTCTTCCTCATGTTTTTAATGTGCCTCTTAAATAAAATGCAGATTCAAAATGAATGAAAAATGAAATTCTATAATGCTTCAGTAGCCAACATATATTTGTGATACAATCTCAGGTGCCTCTTCTTTTTCAGAATCCAACTGGAACACAGACATTTTTCACTCCAGATAAGGTAAAATTCTTCTATGCAACACCTTGTACATCACTTTGCTTGCATAGGGAATTAGTGAAGTTGGCATATTGGTAAATAACCTCCCTCTACACATGTTTTCAGGTTATATAGGTCTGTGTGAGGGCTGTATTATAACAGAAAGAGCAGAATAGAATTGACTATCACTTCAAATATCCATACAAAATGGAGGAAGAGGGAAATAGGGATGTCAGACTCGACTGATTTAAAGAAAATCATAAACATTGATCAGCATACTACAGCATTGTCCACAGGGACTCCTATGGGAGAGGGATATGAAAGCAAGTCTTAGGCTTATTCTTCTGCCTCCCACCACATATAGCATGGGTAAGAGGACCTGTGGTTATCCAAGTATTATAGGACTCCAAATCCCTTCAGCCCTAGCCAGTGGTCAGAACTGATGGGAGATATAGGCCAAGAACATCTTGAGACTCACTTGGTAGATTTTTACATTCTGTGTGACATTCCATTCCTCCTCAGTCATTCAAGAGACAGGGCTGTGCACGCTAGACCCATCCCTGCATTTCCAAGTGTCATGGCCCCACCTTAGCCATTTCAGACCTTACCTTATTAGGGTTCCCATTTCTGCTCAATATTCTATTTATGTCTGAGTGAATGTGAGTAGAACTCTCTTTTAGACTTTACAGGCTTCGCATGGCAAGATCTGAACTGAATGGTGTGGAACTGGGACCAGTGTACCTGGTGACCCTGGGTAGGGCCAATGGACACAGGCCCCATCCCAGTACCCATGATAAACCCTGATGCATTGCCTTGACCACCTGAACAGGGCTGCTACCTAGTGTGGCAGGTATCACATAGACATTACCCATCTACTTTTTTAAAAAAGGTCTGGAAGGAGGATGTATGTGTATGCAGAATGAGATCAAGGATGTGGAACTTGGATCCCCAGCTCTACAAAAATATGTTAATCACATGTACTATAAATCCAAGTTTGTTCTCTCAAGATTTCAGTAATACACTTAATTGGTTATATATCTCATCTTTCCATTATTGCCAATTTGAATAAAAAGGCCTTGCACCACATCAGAAATACACCTAAATTTGGCTTTAGAGAATCAAAAAGGCAATTTTCATGGTGTTATTTGCTGAATCAGCTTTACATGCAGAAGGTTCCAGGCTCAGTTTTCAGCATCTCTGGGCATGGTTGGAAAAACTGTTCAAAACCATGGGCAACCCTTGCCAGTCAGTTTTAATTATACTGGGCTTGATGGACCAATGGTCTGATTCAGTGGAAGGCAGTTTCCTATGTTAGTAATCCTAAAAGAAGGAGATTCTGGACTAATTTACAGCCCCAGGGAATTGCCTATAGCAGCTGCCTTTGAACTACAAATTGTCTCATCTGGTCCTGATTGGCTTGCATTTCATGTACCTCCTCTAGTAGACTAGGTTTATTTAAAAACTCCATACAACAGGAGTGTTTGAGGTGGGATGATCTAATCTAGAAAAAATAAGGGAGACATAATAGAGGTGTTTAAAATTATGAATGGGGTGGAGAAATTGGAGAAGAAGACTGTTTTCTCCCTCTCCCTTAACACTCCAAGCTGGGGTCATCCCATGAAGCTGACTAAGGGAAGGTTTAGGACAGACAAGCAGAAGAGCTTGTTCACACAATACAGATGAATTATGGAATTTGCTGCCATGGGAAGTAGTGATGGCCACCAATCCGGTTGGCTTTAAAAAGGGATTAGACAGATTCATGGAAGAAGAAACAATCAGTAGCTACTAGCCTTACAGACTATGTGCCACCTCCTTCACCTGAGGTAGCATGCCTGCATACCACCAGTTGCTGAGGAGCTTGGGCAAGAGGAGGTCTCTCACCCATCCTGCTTGAGGGATCCTGGGGGAGCTCATTTGCCACCCTGTGTACAGAGTGCTGGACTCGATCAACCTTTCAGCTTCTGAATTCATTCTTCATGAAGTAAGCATTTATTTTGTAAGCTTAACTTCTCCCAGCAGCTCACTGTTTTAAGTAAACAAATGCTTGGAAAAATAAAGGCAAGAAATTAGATTAAATAATTTGTATTGCGCATGAATCAACTCCTAGCAATGAGAAAAAGGATGAAATGCAAAATGGGATCTAAAATCTTCACGGAAATATTGCAGGCTCTGTTGGATCAAATATTGTCAGTTCAAAATGATTTGAAAATGCAGCTTTGAAATATCTCTGGGCTTAAGCCATAAATACTCCCTTTCTTCTTTCACCCCTCCTTCATTCTGTCTGCCTAAGAACATACCCAGGCAGGAGAAAATAAAAAATGGTGTGTTAATGAAAGAGTTCAAACTCCACTGATAAATCAGCAACAGAAGAAGAATGCAGCATTTCAGTATTGCCCGTTCACAATTTATAGCAAGCACAGCTAAGCATTGCACATAGGCTGCAGTGGGAAGTATTCCAGGCTGATTCCCTTGTTGCAAGAAACCAGATACTTTATCAAGGAAATCGGTCTGAGAGGAAGAGCCATTTAGCCCTGATTGGTGCATGAAACATGACATACGCCTGCCCTTAAATCATTTATATTTTACTTTTTTATGATGCAGTTGTGAATTACCTCTTTCTGCATTTGTAATTAGAGAATGTAACAGATGGCCTGGGCCTAGTTCAGGGTGATAAATCCATTCATATAACCCACAGGGAAGCTGTTGCGGACAAATGATTCTTCGTCCATTGCATTGTTCAAGATTTGTGCACCTTAAGATCTTGTAGAGAGTCGATTCTAAAAATAGCCTGGTAAAGAGTTCCAAGTTTCCTGCTCTCTGATACATTTTTTTCCATTATTGATAATAGTATTAACCCTGCCACGCGTGTGCACACAGACACACACCAAAGGAAGCTTGGTACAATTTTTGGGGCCATGACCTCTTTTGTGCAATCACTGAAGCTTAAACAAACCATGATGGGTTGTTTAAGCTGCAGTGGTTATAAGAACTTAGCAGCATCACTCTTATTAAATTGAATAAAATATCTGAGGGGAACCATTTTACATATTGGAAATGTGCTGCTGATCACATGAAGTTGTAATTTCACATGTTTGAAGAGCAAGTTCTGGATATAAATGCCAGTGGCTGTTGAGATGACCTTACCCCGCAGGCATTGGAAGCTTTCAACCATATAGCTGCTATCAAAGAACAGTTACGTTAGAGGTTGCTGAAATTGACAAATTGATAGACACCATTTAAAGGTGGGTGGGGAAAATTCTTATTAGCAGGGTAGTTGATAGATAAGTGGACACTATTGTGTGAAGGGTGCCATTTTTATATCTTCCGAGAAAAGTTATTTAATTTTAGCAATAATCTGCAATTCAATGAATAGATTATTTGTACTCCTTTGCACTATAGTCTGTCTGCCCGCCTGTGTGCCCCCCCCCCCCACTCATGTGTGTGTCTCTGGGAGAATGTCTTATGTTGAGACGAATGAGATATATTAGGGTTTTGTTGTGAACCATCCTGAGAACTTGGGCTATTGGGTGGTACAAAAATAGAATAAATGAATAACTATAAATAGATTGATGTGCCTGGGAGCATTTATTAGGCATAAACAAAAGAAAGGACCTGGAGCTTTCTCACATCCATTCTTACATTCCCAGGTGATTGTCTATAAAGCTTAGGCTTTGTATTCTCTCTGCTTACCAGAACAACAACAACAACATTCCAAGGTATGCACAATTCTGCCTCAAGGAAGCTCAAATGGCTGGTCCAAGCAAATTAGCTTTGGCTAGCCATGGGGAGAAGCAAAGAATTGTGTAGGATCTTGATACCCATTCACTATCCACTTATTCACCTGACAAGATTCAATAATTTCAAGATTCTCTCAGGAATTGCCCACATATATTCATGTTGCCTTTATACATTTACTCAAAACTTTCCTTTAAAATGGGGACAGGGGAGATAAAGGAAGGAAAGTTGTGATTCTTGTGATTTAAAATTATGTGTCAACATGCTGTGATTACAGAATACAGGTCTGCTTATAATGGCTGTATTTGTTTGACAAACAAGCTTACCTAGTTTCTGTCCATGGACAGAAAGGCTCAGCATGAAACCGGAAATATCTAAGCAATGAGATGGCTGTCAGCCAATGGACCGCGGCCTCAGTCAGTGCTCTGTGCTTCTGGACTACTTCAGTCCTAACACCTGCTTCCTGCCATGTTCTAATCTACCTCCTGGCCATGTTTGGCTGCTGCCACTCATTTCTTTGGACTCTGACCATCTGGCATGAAGCCAGATTGCATCTGCTACTCAAAAATCTCATTCTCTTCTTTATTCCACTGCAACAGGTCTGGACTGCATCCACTGATTTATATTCCTTTACCTAAATCAGTATCCTATTTCTATTTTGAAACTGATTCAAACATGTACAAAGAAAGGAAGAAAGGTCTGTTTTGTAAAAAAAAAAAAAAAAAAAATAGTGTGCTTATCAAAAGCATTTTCCAACAAATCAAGTAAGAATTGTGCAGCATTCTGTACACTGGAAAATTTTAGTGAAATCATCTTCAGAATGGGCTGGCAATCCATTTTTCTGAATTTTTCAGGCAAATCAATGTCTTCCCCTCCCCAAATCCAAGAGGCCTGCATACTGCCTAGCAAAATCATGCCACTTAATCGAAAGAATCTCAATAGCTGGAAAAGCAAAAGACAGGATGGATTATGAACTTTAGCAGCTTTTGGGACTCTATGATCCACCTCTTCAAATATCCATGGGCCATCAACATCTTCACAAACTTGCCAATCACTGGTGTTACTAGTAAGGAGAAGCCCCAGATTTCTAAAGAACTCAAATAATTTGTAAATTGCCATGCCTTTTTCTGCAGGACTTACCTGCCTGTTTGAATGATATGGCTTAGCATCTGCTGAAAGATGTGTGTGATCACCAGGTTGCCCTTCAAACCCACCAACCAGGCTGTGCTGAGATACAGTTCAATCAGGAAAATGGTATTACCACATCAAGAGGACTTTTGCCATCTTCCACTCGCACTTTCAAGCACGCATCCACAAATGTGCTATTTCTGCTGCTGCCCAAAAGTAATGATCTCAGAAAATGCAAAAGTGTCTCTCCCTCTTTCTCCTCCTCATCCCAGCACTAATAATAGTTAACAAATGATGTTCTTCTTTGGATAAATTATCATTTGCTGGTATTAGGTTGCTCTGCTCTGGATTCCCTCTTCTGCTGTGCTGAGCTTTGTAAGCAGGTGGGCCAGAGAATTTATTTTTGGTTATCTCATCCACTGCCTCCCAAGGGAAGCTTGCCTACCCTTCTTTGCTTTTTAACACATTGCAGTGAAATAGTTTTCTGTTTAGGAATGCATCTGAGGAGTACTGATGAATTGGCTGGTGCTGTGTGTTAGCAATGTATGGCTGCTTTTTGGATCGGTTGATGTTTTTGTTTAAAATTTGATTAATTGCTTTAAAAATCATGTCAGATTATACACACATGACTCTGTGACATTAACTACATGTAAGAGTCAGCAGATACTTAGTTTTTGAAAACATATTTTAAAATGCCAGGATTTGAGTTAGCAGGTTTAGACTCGCCAGCTCTTGCACTCATGCTTCCTCCTCAGTTTTGTGTTTTGTTGAATCAGTGTCCCTCTACAGTAACTGTTGGAAGCAGCACAAAGATACTATAAAATCATTATACCCATAATTAACAGCATGTTCCCTCTGAGCGCTAAAGCGATCAGATTTAATCATTAATTAAACTTAGTGCTGGACCTCTTTCGCTGCATAGTTTTCATGAACTTTGACTCAAGATTAGACAGCAATTGATGAGTCTAATAATTTGATCTCCTGAGTGCCCTCAGCTTGCACTGAACTTAGCACCTACTCTTTGTGTGCAAGTGATTTATGTCAAGTGCAAATGACGCAGTAGCAATATATTTTTAAAGTAAGTTAAATTGTTTCATGAAAAGGTGTAGATTTGGTCAGGACAATAGCTATCATCATAATTCACCTCCTTTAAAGTTTTTTTTTGTTATCCTCTTTTTAAAAAATTAAGTATTCACATCGATTCCCATTATACTTAAAAATGTGCATTGACGGTCTGTTGAAAGACACAGTTGGCAAAATTTATACAATATATTCAGGTAAGACTTGTCACTGCAGTCACTGCTTGTCATTGCTGTGATGAATCTGCCATCCATTTCATACATAAAATCATTAAGCCCCTGGCTAGATTGCAAAGTCAATGTCTGAAATATAGAAAGCTTTGGGAAGCCAGTTGTGCTTCATTGCTGGGATGATGCAACCACCATTAAGTGATAGCTTTATGTTATGTGGAGGGTCAGTCCTACATAACCCAGACCCACTGAAATAAGTGGGGCATGTATTATTAGATTAACACTGGATATAACCTGTTCCTAGTTGAACTCCTGGCATGCCTAATCAAAGAATCCCAGGACCAAATGATATGTGATTGGATGGATCCAAAATCAGGACCTCTGGCCTATTTTCCCACTTAAAGTTACTCCTTTTAGAAAGGCATTTCCTCCTTCAGATTTTTGCAAACTATCCTCATCCCAACTTGTATTCTCTGGAAGTGAGAGAGGAAGACTGGAGACTGGATCTAGATTTAGGCAGAGTTCTCCATCTCCTCCCCACAACAACCCTTCTACCTTCTGGAAATTGCTACATTTGCTACAGGGTGGTTGGCATGGACAGCCTGCTCAATGGGGCAGCTGAAATTCACCTTCTCAAATCGGGCTGACAAGCACCTTCTTTAAGCAGGTATTGAATCCAAGCCACCAACAAATGATGATCAAGTTCAAACAATATAACCTATACTCCAAGGTTGAGTATGACATGAATAAGGGCTATTGAAGATCAGTGGGTCATCATGCTGTCTGAACCTAGCTTTATTAACAAACCATGGTTTATTAACCACCAACAACCTATTAAGAGATTCTATTATTTGTTATGGGGTTGAGAGCTGTGGGTTGTTCACCATGGCTTATTATCCTAGCTAACCCATGCAATAATCCACAGTTCAACATTTCCACCCAGACTCAGCCTCTTGTTTGATGATACATGTTGTCTGTATCATGTCCCCCCTGCCCCGTGAACAAAACCTGCAGGAAGGGGCAATTTACATAAGGGGAATTGAATTGTGCCCGGAAGAGGGCAGCAGAGTAAGGGAAAAAATCCAAAGGAACATTGCATTTGTTTTTCAGTTGTTTATAAACGTGCGTGGTCTTAGCATACCATTTTCCAGTGGTTAAGGCGGGTATGTGCGTTCGTAAGACTACAGATAGAGGGATATATTATGAACCAGAAGCTGGCCCGGCACATCCATTACACGTGAACCCACGTGGGGCGGGGGCGCGGAAGCGTCCCTTGTTGACCCCCTTCTCCACACGGCCCTATTCGAAGCGCCCGAGAGCGGCCAAGAGAAGCGCAGCACCCTCTCGAGGGAGACGGCCGGGCCGGGACGGGGGCAAGGCCGCGGGGCGGGCCGCCGAGTGGGCGGGCCCTGCGCGCCATGCCGGCAGCCGCTTCTCCTGCTCTGGCCTGTCCGCGGCGACCATGGCCGCTCGCCTGCTGCGAGGACTTTCCGCTTTACAGAGTCTCCCGCGAGCGGGGCAGGGGGCTGCCCGCAGCGGCGCCTGGCTTGGCTCCCGGGCAGCTCACAGCGACAGCTCTGGTAGTTGCTCGGAGCGGGCTGGGCCGAGGAAGAGGAAGAGGAAGAGAAGGGAAGGAAGAGGGTAGCGCTGCGGGCGGGCGGGGAGCGCAGGGCGGCGGGAAGGATCTTTCTCTGGGGGTGTCCCCATTCCTGCCTGGAGGCAGTTCGAGGCAATTTCTTTAGTGTACTTCCATCTGTGCATTTAGTGGTGGTGGTGGTGGTGGTGGTGGTGATACAGAGCAATGCGCTCCTCCTCGGTATTAATGAGGAAGGAGACTTAGGGCAAAGGAGAAAGGACGCGCCATTGCGACAGGTGCAGAGACGCCGTTTCTCATCCCTGCGGGGAAAGCGGGACCTGGAAACTTTCTGCATTCTTAAAGGTTGTCCTTTGCATCTCTGTTCGCTACAGATGGGCTGAAAGTAGATTCACAGATGTTTGTGCTTTGTCTACTAGCGTTCCTGACCATTAGGCTTGCAGGAGTTTCTAGAAGTTGAAGTCCAAAACTTCTGGGGATCTGCCTTCTGGCTGCTGTGCTGTAGAGTCCAGATGAAGTTTGGGCATGCTGTGTTGCTTTTGGGATGGGGCATTTGATGTTGGTGTTTACAGCGTGTTCACTGGGGCTTATGCCAAAGTAAGCATGGCCAGGATTGCAACTGGAAAGGGCAGTTCTGCTGGCCATTGTTGACAATTACTGTCATCTGTGGTTCTCAGGGGTTCACACAGAATTCTTTCCTAGCCCCACCTGGAGAAGCTGGGCATTAAACCTGGGCCATTCTGCACAGAAAGCCTTATGCTCTAGGAGGGAGTTGTAGCAATGATGGGGCCAGTGGGAGAGGGAAGAGCAGTAGGCATGTCAAAATACCTATCTGAAAGCATTTTCATTGCAGAGCTTTCCCCCCTTTCTAGACCTGTATAGCATACCTTTTTATGGAATTCAAGCCCCATTAAATATCTCCTACATGAAAATGTGCTTTGACTGTTTCCTAAATTCCGCTTAAGCACCCCTTCCAGCAACTGTTTTGAATGTATCATCTTTCAGCACTCTTGTTATTGCAAGCCTCCACATACTGCCCTTCCTTTGCTCTGGCTGTAATTGTTTTGCTTCTGGTGCAGTCTGGCATATATAGACCCTTGCTACATATGGTGGTTCATGCCTGCCAGTTGTGATTCACTACATTTCAGAAGTGATTCTCATTGTCCCACTTTTGCAGATAAAGATGTGGGCTCTCTGACAAGATACGATGAATCAGCCGTTACCACTGACTGGCAAAAGAAATTGACTCCGGAGCAGTTTTATGTCACCAGGGAAAAAGGAACTGAATTGGTAAGCTAAAAGACACAATAGTTGCTAAGGAGCAGGGATATATATTATGTTTAGATACATAATGTGTAACTACTCATTCTCTGGCAACCAGGAATCACTTTTATTAGGGCAAAATAAGGACTAAGTCCAGCATTTTTTATTTTATTTTTTTGTTCAGCTACACGAGTATTGTATTGCCGTGTCTCCCACAGATATAAGATGTCATAAATCAGTTGAAGTAGGCTCTAGAGTACACTTTCTAACCTGAAGGTCCCCAGATGATAATGCACTATAACTCACCTCTCCTTGATCATTGGGCATGCTGTCTGGGGATGGTGAAAGTCAGTCTTATAACATGGGGGCGGGTGGGCCACATTGGGAAAAGTTGTACAACAGAAGGGTGTACAAAAGTAGATATCTACATGTCTTGGACTTCAGTTCCCAGCATTCCTGACCATTGGCCATGCTGGCAGAGACTCTGGGGAATTGAAACCCCAAACATCTGGAGATCTACCTTTTGTCCACCCTTGTTTTGTTGCAACCAGGAGCAAAGAACCTTGAGGATGTCACCTATTTAATCCTTCTCCAGTATGATTGTTTAGACTTCCAACACCCATCACCCTCAGCCACCATGGCCAATAGTCAGCAATCTAAACATCGGAAGGAACTAGATCCAGGGAGGTTAATCTACAAATACCTTAGCAATTTGTAGATAGGATCCCTGGATAATTTCTAGTTTGTGAAGAAAATGCATGTGGGAACCATTCTGTACACCCAAGTCCAAATTCAATTTCAGAGATGCTCTTGAGAACTGTGTTCTAGTAGTGGGCAGGGCCAAAGACCTCACCTGTTACTTTAATGCAGCCCCAAAAGTAAGGGTAGGACTAAAGGCAAAAGGATCATGCCAAAATATTGCTATCAGAATTTTTTTTTTACTGTAACACAATTTCTGCCAGTAACTAAGCTTTGGAAGCAAAGCTAACAAAACTGAAGCTGTCATACTTTGGGCTTATTGTGAGAAGGCAAGACTCACTGAAGAAGACAGTCATGCTAGGGAAAATCAAGGGCAGAAAAAGAAGAGGAAGACCAACTATGCGATGGATCGATTAGATAAAGGAAGCCACAGTTTTCTTGAGTTTACAAAAGCTGAGCAGGGCTGTCAAGGGCAGGACATTTTGGAGGACAATTCATTCAGAGGGTTTCCATAAGTCTCATATGACTTGATGGCATATAAGAACATCAGCTGAGCTTTAGGAGAAGCACTTCAGCCTTTTAGAAAAGGTGGAAACTTGAAAATACGGCAATGGTTGGTTCAGGGAAGGGGATGGGGGAAAGGGGCCAGGGCCTGAGATTCTAAATTCCTGCTACATAGCCTTTTCATGAAAAGGTAGGGTTATGCTAGACCAAAGCTCAATGCAAGCTTGCACTCTGTTGCTGACCTTTGATGCTTCTGAGAAGTTTATAAGCTAGGCATGGAAGCACCTCACCTGGTATGTAAGGACACATCTCATGCTCCATTTAGTGATTGTGGCAACAATCATTGATGAACCTTGCCTAACCATCCTTTTTAAAACCATCTAAGCTCTTGCCATCACCACATCTGATTACACTAGATGGGGATAATGGGAATTGTAGATCAAGACCTCTAAAGGGCACCAAACTGGGAAAAGTTGTGTGCAGAAGGATTTTTTGTCCATCTTCAACATACCATGCATCATAGGTTTTTGTCTAGGATTCTGCTTCATGATTCAGATTTGTCTCCAAGAGGGTTTTAGGGGACTGGGATGTCCCATGGTAACAAAGAGACATCATTGTGTAGCAGGCATACCAGTTCAGCTCCCATCTGTGCTGATGTAGAAGTTCTGACACAGAGGCCTGGCTGAGAATTGGCTTTGCAAGTTAAATTTAAAAATGTAGATAGCTTTTGAATGAGAATTTTAATATATATGTTTCAAGCCTTTTAGTGGAATCCATCTGACTAATACAGAGCCTGGGATGTACCATTGTGTATGCTGCAACACCCCGCTGTTCAGGTAGGAGTTTAATTATAAGATACATTTCAGTTATCATGTTTGCAACCTTCCCTCTCTCTGAGGAACTCAAGTGCGTTAGTGCACAACATTCTCTCTATTTTATCCTTGCAACAGTCCTGTGAAGTCGGTTAGCCTGAAAGTTAGCTGCAGTGCCAAAGTCACCTACTTAGCTTCACAGCTGTGCATGGATTTGACTACGGCTTCCCAGGTCTAACAGTGCAACTAGATGTCATACAGGAGAGATATGATTAAGATCTCCACTTAAAATAAAAAGGGGGCCCTGAATCAGATCAGGACCATGGTACTGAGGGAGGGGGTGCTAACTCTTTCTTCTGCACTATTTTGCTAATTAAAATCTCCTCCAAACTTATTGCTTGCCCAACATGGTGTGGGGAGGTTGGATTGCTGATAACTGTATGATACTTGTAACTTTTCCCCATGGGAAAATAACAGTTTAAAGTGGCACTCTTAATTTCTATACTATTTGTCCAGTTTGGGCTGTACAAAGACTGTGAGTGAAGAAGTCCCTTTTGTATGGTTGTTACTCTTATTGTTCTTATTTTCAAACATAATGCTGCTAATCAAGAAGATCCTATCTCATGCCTGATTCGTCCTTCAGCCTGTTTACCTGTTCTATTCTGTTTACCATGTAAAGCTGAAGAAGAAAGCTGTTCTCAAAGGAGGAATAGAAATACTGTAGACATACAGGTTTCTAATATAGGAAGCATGTGAAAACCAAGACACTTTTCTAGCAAGAATCCTAATGGCACCTAGGAAGCAATTTTACAAGCAGATGAGGCAAGTAAAAGGCAGAAGTAAAAACCTAATGACCAAGGAATGATATATCATTTAATATTAAGCAGGGAGTAAAGGGACATTATTTTCTACATCAAGCTGATACGCTTTTTTGGTAAGAGGTCTGTCTTCTACATGCCCTGGTGATCTTGCAGTTTAATTATTGTACTGCACTTTATATATAGTGGGCCTTGGAGATGGTTTAGAACAGTGTTAGGCAGTGTGGTTTAGATAGGAACCAATGAACCCTGGACATCTTCCTTGGCACTTGGCGAAATACCCTACCCTTCCCACCTTCTCTTGAGATTAGCCATTTTCTTAGCAACTTTTGGTATTGCTATGAAATAGTTTCTGCTGATGCTGAAATGTTGATTCAAAGGAGTTGTTTGTGTCTTGGGATTCAGACGCCACCTTTGCCCTGTATGCTGGCTTTGAGGCAGTTTACTTGTCTTTTGCCGTGTTTCCCACAGCAGTCATGACTGTTTTTCAATTTGTTAAATGTGTTTGCTGTCCAAAGATGTTCTCACTGCTTACTCTTGTCTGGAACGGCATCTACTGCAGAATTATTTTCTTTTGATTATGGTGCTCAATAGAATGTGTTATCACCCGACTCTACTATCTGTGCTACTTACTTCTTGTAGCTGGGCGATGCTTGGGGTGCTTGTTATTACCTGCATGTGCGAGCCTTTGCAAATAGATAGAGCCCTGATTCAGGATCCTTTCCTATCCAGTAAGACTTGCACAGTCCAGCTGAGAAATTGCTTTTAGTATTGAACATGATACAAAACTGAGAGCGTCCCATTGGAAACCCTTATCTCTGTATATGGAGTGTTTCTGCAGTGTATCTAGCTTACTGCTCCCTGCTACAAAACACAAACTGAAAATTAGGCATACATGGAACATAAGCCTTGTTTTTTATAGATAGCAAATTACAAAAATTTAATGAAATGCCTAAATTCAGCGTAGTCATGAAATTACAGCCAAAGGTCATATGTCTTTAAATTATCTCAAATGTATCCAGGACAGCTAAAATAGAGATGAAAGAAAATAACATATGTTGGAGGTATGGTGTATTAAGAACTAATCTGTTGCACATGTTTGGGGAATGTCCATTTATCCATAAATGCTCTGCAGAACTACTTCAAAGGAGAAATAGAATTTTGGACAGCAAAATTTTGGTGGGTTACTAAAATGTTTCCACCAGAAAATATAAGCAACATATCTATAAATAAATCATATAGGGCCTGTTGTGCTACAGAACTATTTTAATAGAGCAGAAAATTGGCAAGAGGTTTCCACAGCAAGCAATTGTAGATCTGATGTAGACAATACAGTGAACTAGACATAAAACATCTGTTCAGAAATGAAACTGTGGACAGTGTTGTGGGTGGGAGGATGGTCTTAATCCAATGTTGTCTTTGCATCAGTAAATGTCTTGCTTCTGCCTTGAAAATGAAGTCTCCAACCTAGAAACATAACTCTGATTATGCATTGTCTCCTTTTGGTGATATTGCTTAAGGATCTTGCTTAATACTGCATTAATAATGAATTAATAATAATTCATACTGCTTAATGCTCTTCAATCCGGCATTCCAGTGGTGGGTGGTCCAAAGGCAGAATGGGCAGAATCAAAAATACCAGAATATTACAGCTTAAAACCCTCCTGTCTGTCATTAAGCCTTAGGATAGGCACTTTAGCCGTTTGCAGTGCAGGAGGGTGGGACTGTACAGAAGCTGATCAGGGAAAAGGGATGGGTCAGGGGAAGGAGGTGTGGCCCTTTTGGGGCAGATTGCCCTGTGGCCTGAGATTCCGCATCTGAGATAGAAATAGTTTTCTTATAGTTTGGATCCAATACTAGAAGTGAACTAGGAGAGGAGAAAATTGCTTAAAAAGCAATGGAATGTAAGTGAGGGAAGAGTTAAATTCTGCTTCCTTTTCTGTAGCATTTCTTCCCCAGCGACCCTGCCCTGCTGTATATGCCAGTAGGGCAGAAACATTGCTAAAAAGCCTAGTTCGGTGCTCCGTGCAGCAACAGTTCCCAGTGCTGCCTGTCATGACATGCTCAGTAGGACAGGAGAAGCTTCTCTGAGTGGGACAGTGTGATGGCAGGAACGCCTGCATGTCACTGAGGCAGCATGTCTTTCCCATCCTCCCTCCAAGCAGCAGAGGCTTCTGGTGTACCAGTACGCAAAATCTGTATAGAGTAAAAATATGAAAAATGGGGTCTTCTTGTAGATCTTGGTTTGATGTGCAGTAGATCAGCCGTGGTTTCTGACTAGCATTAGAAACAAAAATAACAGCGCCACCCCCTGCAAACTGGACTAGTGTAACAGTGAATGCTTGAGCAGAAAGCAGACTCTGCACATGTGAAAGGACAGTGAGTTCAGTTCTGGTACTGAATTTACCAGGCTGCACATGTGCTCAGAAGCACCCTGAACCTTTATGCTAAATGTTCAGAAGCTATCAGGTTCCAGCTGGTTGTTGTCATACACCTTAAATTCTAGTGCAGTAGTGGCGAACCTACAGCACGTGTGCCAAAGTGAGCATGCAGAGCCCTCTCTGTGGACACACGAGGCAAGTCGCCCCAGCGTTGCCCAGCAGACGAGCATCGGATAACTCATTGGCCGCGACACGTCCAAGCTTTCGCATGGCCAGTCAGTGTATTGCCAAGGATATTGCTTGGACTGGCTGTGAGTTGTTTTTTCTAAACTAAAACCTCAGTTTTCAGGTTTTATTGCAGTTTATTGCAGTATTGGCATTTTGTTTTGGTTTGCAGTTTGGGCACATTGTCTCTAAAAGGTTCACCATCAAGGCTCACCATCAAGAGTGGCTTAGAGTTAGAAACATGAGGTGTCCTGGCATTATTTTGATGATTAGAATGGGCAGAAATGTTGAGCTGTGCAGAAAAAGCTACTCAAGGAAGGCTTTTTCAAAATTGCCCTACTTTTGATGGAACTACACCCCTATGTTAGGGTTAGAAAAATGAGGTGTCCCAGCATGATTTTGATGGTTGGAATGTATTTAGAATGGGCAGAAATGATGAGCAAGTACAGAAAAAGCTACTCAAGGAAGGCTTTTTCAAAATTGCCTTATTTTCAATGGTGTCGTACCCCTCTATTAGGGTTAAGGGTCTGCACTAGGGTTGGGTTAGGGTTAGAAAAACGAGGTGTCCCAGCATGATTTTGATGGTTGGAATGTGTTTAAAATGGTCAGAAATGTTGAGCTGTGCAGAAAAATCTGCTCAAGGAAGGCTTTTTCAAAATGATTTATTTTCAGTGGAACTTTCACCACATATTAGGGTTAGGGGTTTGCACCAGGGTAGGGTTAGGGTTAGAAAAATGAAGTGTCCTGGCATGAGTTTAATGGTTGGAATGTATTTAGAATGGGCAGAAATGATGAGCTGTGCAGAAAAAGCTACTCAAGGAAGGCTTTTTCAAATTCGTCCTCTTTTTAATGGAACTTTAGGGTTATGGGAGTGCCCCAGGGTAGGGCTAGGGCAGTGGTGAGGAACCTATTGCACACGTGCCACAGTGGGCACGCAGCGCTCTCTCTGTCAGCATGCAAGCCAAGTCGCCCCAGCATCGCCCCAGAAGCCAAGTATTGGATAACAGCTCACATAGGAACCATGCAAATGCTCAGAAAAGAGTAGGGGCACCAGGTGATGATGTGATGAGCTGCGACTCATTAGCCGTGACTCATCCAAGCTTTCTCATGTCTGGTCAGTGTGCTGCCAAGGATAATATATATATTTGCTTGGACTGACTGTGAGTTGTTTTTTCTAAACTAAAACCTCAGTTTTCAGGTTTTATTGCACTGTTGACACTTTGCAATAAATAAGTGCGTTTTGGGTTGCAGTTTGGGCACTTGGTCTTTAAAAGGTTTGCCATCACTGAACTAGTGAAAAGCAAACCCTGAAGTACCTCCATCAAGCCTGAAGCCTGTCTACCCCTTGTACAGAGAAATCTGCTGTGGTGCCAGATGCCTCTCACTGGGTGGTGTATAGAGGGCCTTTGACACAGATGTGCAAGACTTGCCCTTCTATGCACATTAGAACCCAATGATATGGGGTTTCTGGAAAATTCCAGGGAAACTTAGATTCATTTGCAAGGGAATAGTCTCAAGAGGTGCCAACTTTGATGGTGCCCCAGTCCCTCTTAAAAACTTACTTGTTTAACTCAGCATCTGCAGGTGTTAATGACTACCTCAGCAGAATTTTTATTTGGGGTTTTAATTTCAATTTTATTTGTCACTTCATGAATTTCACACCCTGCCCAGGATTTTTTTAATGAAGGGTGGCATTTAAATATTTATTATAATAATGTCAGTGTTTTCATCTGCCACTGGGTGCCACTAAAGAGCAGTGATTCCGCCTTGCTGCAAAAAAAATGTGTTAGTACGTCAAACTGTATTCTTCCATTTTGCTTTAAAAAACAGTAGTAAATGAAGCATCAGTTATACATTACACCACTTCAAAAAAAACCCTCTAATTTCCAATGTTTACTTTATTTAAAAAGGAGACATTTAATGAAAATATACAATGCTTTGCGTGTAGCATTCAGTTGACATTAATACCAGGAGCCAAGTAATATATCCATTGTTAGACTTCCTAGTCTGCAAACCAGATGAGCCATAGTAATTAGACTGAATTGGTTGCTAAATTTTATGTTCATTAAATTAGAAATAATCCTTACTGATTCAGTATAATTTTCATCCATGGAGCGTTTAGAGTTGTATTGATGTGGACAAGTACTGACTCTCTGAAGATCTTCTGGAAGAATAAAGGTTCTGTGAGGGACTTATGAAGGCTCACACTGCACAGAAAGCTTGTTTGATCAGTGATCACTCTCCTGGCTTTTGTTGAGAAGGGAAATGGAATATTCATGTAAAGCAACACTTCATTAATGTTCAGTTTTGCTGTCTGTAATAGCTCAGAAGCCAAATACGATTCTGGCACAGGGTGGCCATCCTTTTCAGAAGCTTATGGGACCTCTGGAACAGATGAAAGCAAAACTAATATCTTGAGACGGCCTGATAACTCATCCGGAACAAGGCGCACCGAAGTCATCTGCAAACAGGTATACCTGCCTTGAAGGAGATATAGTAGGTATTTGAACACAAATGTTGTATTCCCTCTAGCTACCGTTGTGTTACATACTTGGTTTTTTATTTGCAACCTCATGAATTCATATAAAGATGCTTTCCATGGCATACAATTAGCGCCAGGTGACCCTAGTGTAGAAAAGCCCGAAACTGCCTTGTGCAGCGAAAACAAACAAACCAGATTACAAACAGAGCTGAAATTCTGTATACACCAATCTGGGAGTAGCACCCTTAGATATTATAGGATTTATTTTACAGCAAGCATGTCTAGGATTGCACTTCAGTGTTATGCACATTTTATGCTCATCGGATACAGTATGACTGACTTCCTAGGATGCACAGGGTCTGCCTGCATGTGTGGGCCAATCATGTGGAGGGGAAAATTGACATAGCAAAAACTGATGGGAAGCTTAAGGCTTTGCCCCTTGGGTGCTTATATACCTGGGAGCCCCAGTGTATTTTCTGATATTAAAATAGGGTCATTTAAATAATAGACCTCTGCTAATGTGAGAATATTCTTTCTTCTTCCATTTCACTTATGATATTAGTTGATTCCAAATGTTTCCTCACCATTCAAGGTGTTGACACTGGAAATTATTTTATTAGAACTAAGGTTTCTATTCACAGAATCTTTATCTGGAAGAAGTCACACTTCATTCTTTGGGTATTTGATGCATGCATAAATGGAAGGTTAGAATGACTGGTACTAAATAGAAAAGGCATTGCTTATATGGCAGTTAAAAACTTAATTGGCCCCTTTGGCTATGAAATCAGTATGTATAATTTAGCAGATATGTTTCAGTTTGTGAATCTGGCATTGCAACCAGTCTGTTTTTCTCTTGCAGTGTGATGCCCATCTGGGCCATGTGTTCAGTGATGGTCCCAAGCCATCTGGGCAGAGGTTCTGCATCAACAGTGTTTCGTTAACATTTAAGCCAAGTTCAAGCCAGTGAGACTCGCTTCTTCACAACCTATGTGTTGATGGTGCTTTGATACTCAGCTCTCTCTTGCTACAGGGAGCTTCCTGGAAATCACATTGGAAACTAGATGGCTGTAACTAATGAGTCTATTCTGTGTTTATATAGAGAGGATAAGTACCTAGTATGCCTGTGGCCAGGGCCAACACATTGATGAGACGTGTGCTGTACCTACTGTGTGGTGGAATAGTACCATGTAGCCGGCCAGATCTGCATCTCTCTGTGCATTCTTCATATGTAAGCAGAGCTCTTTACATGTAGATTATGCCATTAGATCAAGCACAAACAGGAGATCATGCATAAAGCATCCATCTGTAGGCTTATCAGTCCATTCATAGGTTTTTTTAGTTGATTCCTTTCCTGGTTGCTGGTCGGTACAGTAATCAAGTACATGAAAATGTGTGTGCAGATTTCCAGAACTTGAATATATTGTGTGTCTCTTAAATGCAACTTAGCTTTAAGAAATAAAATAACCACTCAATATTAGAGAGGCCACATGTTGTAGTTCATTACTAACTTGGACCCCTAAAGAAGTCAGAAATAAACAGGTTTCAGGCCCAGGTCCCTAATCCAACTACCGTTGCAGGCAATGGCTTGGTTCAAGTGAAATAGCAACCCATTGTGGGTAACAAGCATTGTTGACAAGGTTGTTGAGGCATCTGCATCCAGACCACTTTGCATAGGTTGGCTTGTGTGTGTGT